TGCCCAGAGGGCCCCGATGACCACAGGCACCACTGTGGTCTTCACCTTCCAGGTCTTTTCCAGTTCCTAATGGGCACACATCCACTTTACTTTCTTAGGAGTGGTGTTATTCCAGTTCTTTGGAYGACAGAAAGAAAGAAAAATGCACGTTTTTGCCCATATTAGATAAATGGCAACCTCTTGTTTGTATAAATTTTCAATTCATAGTTTTGTTTTGTTTTTATGTAATACAAAGTCTGAGTAAGGCCCACTGTTTGAGACAAATACTTTTTATTTCGCAATAATAGTCAAACCGACTCTCGCCACACGAGGGCGCCAAATCCCTATGATCACTGTTGAAGCCATTGATATTTATTACTTTACACAGTAGGCCTAAAAGGTTGAAACCACTGCTTTGTAAGCGACGAGATTAAAACAGGAACAGTTAGCCTAAATTGAATGTATAATTTCTTTAGTAAGAACAAACACACGAATTTCTGCCACCCTAATTTGCTATTTAACTTGCCAGCAGGAAAATCTCAATTTTGTCTGTATACGTTTAAATTTTCATTTGACCTGTTTAATGTTCAGAGGGCGTCCAAACAAGTTTTGTAATAAATAACCTGAACAGCTTTGCAGATATTTATGACATTGTTGCTACTATTTTTTCATTATTCATGACTGAATTATTTTTGCAATCGTTGTATGAAAGATGCATCACCAATGACAATCTAGTAAAACTATATTTTTGCTGACAAAGCACATTGTGCATCTATATGCTGTGCAAATAAAATTAAACTTGACCTAAAAAGAATTTGTGATTATTCACTTTAAGTGCCTGTATATGGTATAATGATTGTTTTGTTTTGTATTTGTGGAGGGATGGATGAGCACTGATACATTAAAACTATGCCGAATTTACGAGTGGATGTCCATATTTATAAAAGTCCCTCTCTTTGATTTCTCTATCTTCGCGCGCTTTAATGATTTTAAAACAACCTTAAACTCGCACATTTCTATATGTAGTTTGGTGGCGCTTACGAGGAGGACCAGAGAAATTTGAGCTTAACGGATTTTAACATTTGAGCTACGTTTTAATGTTTACATCTTCTGAAAAGATTTAACAAAAAAAAAAGTTGAGAAATGCTTTTGGGGTTTTTTAAGCGAAGCTCCACCTTTTCTAGCGGTTCCGTGACCTCAGCAGTGGGCTGGATGGTGAGGGTGGGACTTCCAGGCTTTCAGAGAGCTCCGAGTGGATTCCTGCCCACTGACGGCTTGGACCTATGCGGCTTCAGCGACGGCAGAGGCGGGGGACTGGTTCGTTCGTGTCCACGGACTGAGAGAGGACCACTACACGCCGGGCGTCTCTTTTTCTACATGCGTCTACAACCRGGGATAAATAACCGAGGAATGTGGAGGATACAGAATGCCCAACAGCGCTGGAAAGAGATTTAAACCCACCAAATACATCCCGGTGTCCACTGCTGCCACACTGCTTGTGGGATCGACCACTTTATTCTTCGTTTTCACGTATGTTTCTCCTTTTTCTTCTTCTTTTGTCTGTGCGTAAAAAAAAATGTTCCCAAACTGCCGTAAAGCGCGTTCAGGAGGGGGTTRTAGCTGGAAGTTTGCACGGGTGGATTGACTGACTCGGACTGGTCTGAAGGGAGAGGATCTCTCCCATCTGACAGTGGTCTTCAAGTTCAATTCAGTGAGCTTTTCTCTGCAGAGAGAAACTGGGAGCCAGACCTGAGATTTACCGTAAAAACYACAAAAGCTGCTCCACCTAAAATGMACTGCCGTACATTGTAGAAAAGCTGAGCAGGATAAATTAATTCAAGCTGTGCTGCCCAAAATAAATGACCACAAATTATAGGAAATTTTGCTACATAAACATAAATTTCAAAAAAGCAGCTCCACGTAAAATGAATTGCCGTATATTGTAGAAAAGATGCGCAGGATAAATTCATTCAACTGTAGAGAAGCTGTGCTGCAYAAAATGAATGATCATAAATACTAGTAAATCTTGGTATGTAAAACAAGAMTACTAGAAAAGCTTTGTCACCTAAAATGAACTGACGTTTGAAGCTGCAATGGATAAAATTAAATAAATTGTGCTGCTTAAATGAGTTACTGTAAATGTGGTAAAAGCTGAGCCACATAGTGAATTACCATAAATTACAGAAAGGCTGAGCTGCCTAAAATAATTTACTGTAAATATAAGAAAATCTGTACATTATATATATATATTTTTTTTTCTTAATTAAATCTGGGTCCAGATAAGACTTCTGGATTTGGATTCAAACTACCATCCACCATTTGGAGACCCCTACCTTCGTAGAAGGTGGGCCAGAAATGCCTGGCGATGAGACGAGCAGCTTATTATTATTTTTTTTCTGTGCAGCCTCCTGCAGATTACATTCTGCAAATGAAACATCCAGTAAAGACTTGCTGTGATTGTTAAATTGTGCAGGCCTAAAATATTCACTCGGATCAATTCAAACAGGATAGTTCCATTCTGCCCTGCTAGGTTGTGCATCTTAACTTCCAGCATGTCTCCAGGAACGTTTCCTTTGAGGACTTTGAGCCAGCGTTTGGAGCAGATTCAGGAAGCGTGCATTTCTCTGTTCTAACCTTAATCAGTCTGTAAAGAAACTACAAGCAGGAAGGTCTGCTCCCCAAACCTCTCAGATGAATGAAGGATCGGGGGGAGGATATGAGGGCTGACAGCAGAGAGACTGATGCTGTTGTGAAAGCTGTCAGRTTATCCATGAAATCCACTTCACCCCACGTTTCATATGTGCAGGGTTCCCCAGGGGGATTTGAGAATGATTTGGGGAATGTTTCACAGCAGTGGTTGTCTGCCTCACACCTGTGTGTCACAGATAAAACAGTCYCTCACCGCTTCGCTGCATTTTAATGTCCACAGGACACGTCTGTACATTCATTAGCTTTCATGATTTTGCTCATGTTCTATCTGCCTTTTTACCGATAAACATCCTAAGCTGCGGTTTTATGAGATACAGTAAAAACAAGGTTTGTCCCACCAGGACAGAACAAACCGCTCAAACTCGTGGAAAACTATYAAAAGATATATTCCTAACTCTATGAAATGATGCAGTTTGCAGCTTAGTCCAGTCTGRATTCACTGAGGTGCAATTCTGAAATGCGGGTATGYACTTAATGTAAACAAAGCACTTTGCTGGAAGCTTGAGTCACAAACTTGGCCTACATTAGGCTGATTGTACAGATTTTGCTTGTTCCTTCATGATTTTTTTTGTCTTTAACATTGAGACAAGCATCTGGTGTTTCTGAACTCCAAGGATTGCATATTTTAAAAGCCACTGTATCATCTCTAGCTTTGCATAAACAAATAACCTAATTTACAAGTCTTAATATGAAGCGAATGTGTTTAAGACGAGATGAGTCACTCTGCTGGCAAACAGTGAAAGCCAGGAGGTTCTCCTCTCTTGTTTTAGTGTTTGATTTGGTGTTTGTTAAAGTCTCTCTCTACACTTTAAGGTTCATCCCTTAGCAGATGGCTCAAGGTTGAGGATTAGTGTTCCTGCTTCACTTTACAGAAAAAAAGAWAGGGGAAAACAAAAAAAAGAGACACGGAGGATTGAGTTGTGTGTAATGTAATGGAACCTGTGGAGCAGCACAGGTCCAAACAAGGCCAGGTCTCCTCATTCTCAGACACCCGGAGGGTCAATTAAAGTGAACCCCGTCTGGGCTTTTCTCTATTTTGGGAGTGGAAAACTGCAGAACTACTGTGAAAGCTAACGGCAGCTCGCATGTCTCTGCAAACCTCAAAAAAAAAAAAAAAAAAAAAAACATCCACAGTCCTTGAAGAAAAGTTAAACTTTTATCTTTTACTGCTTGTTCGACGAGAAGTTGGTGCAAAATGTAGGAACATGGCAGGACTAATGCCTGGTTCACACAGCAAGATTTTGAACTCGTCGGTTGATTTTCGAAACCTGAGAGACACGAGGATAAAAAGTCATGTATATAACAGGTGTGGTCCTACAGTGTGTGGTGTACAACCACATGGCAAAGACAACACAACTGCACACAAACAGGTGTCACTCATGAACGTTCAGATGGGAAATCTCGCGAGAATTCTCGAGATCAAACGTGAGTTCAGAGTAAACAAACATGGCAGAAGAGGAAGAAGCAAAAGCAAAAAGATGGGCTCTCTGTTGCGCCATGGCAGTCGTTTCGTCTTCTGCATATCGGATTGCTCATCACCTCGATTTCAGATTGTCAAATTCATCCAGCTGCATTCTCGTTTGTGCCTGGGAAACCCCAAACACGCTGGGATGTCGGGCCAAGTCAATCCAACACGTTGAATAGCCCCGACTTGAGTTCGGAGTGGTCCCAAAGTCCTTCCAAGTGGACTAGATCACTCGTAACTAGGGCTGCCATGATTAGTCGATGACTAATTGATTATTAAAATAGTCGATAACTAATTTAATAATCAATTATTTGTTTGTTTGTTTGTTTGTTTTTTTGTTCTTAGTTTGTTTTTCTCTCCAAACTGCTTTGACA